ACACACACACACACACACACACACACACACACACAAAGATATAAAGAAGTTGGCTTTTGATCTTCACAGCAGGTTTAAGTACAATTATATTTTAACCTCTCTAAGGTTATATCATGATTTTCTCTTTTCTACAGGCTCTCTGCTCTAAACAGCAAAGCCATAAATCACAACTTCATTTTTTCCTTTTTACACAAAAACCCATAAAGGTTAAGGTTATATATTTCGTCAAGGATTGCAAAAGGTATACATTTTTTAAAATTCTATATCTCTCTTGCAGGTTACTCTACTTGTTGCTTTATTTTTCCTACCCCAAGATGGTAGAGCTTTTGGTAATTTGGGTGTTTTCTATTACTGTTTGAAGTTTCTGGGCCAATGGTTCACCATAAAAAAATAACAACAAAAGCTATTAATTTGGAAATATAAATTTTTCTCCTGATGGTAGCAAAAATATGAATAGTTGGCTGATATTTACAAAATGATTAAAAATGCATTATTGCATTGATGAATACAATTGAATTAGGCTGCAGAAATGTCCTGGCAAAACTACTGTTTCTATCATGTGACGCCCAATAAATGAAAAAATAAAGGAGAGACCATTATTCTCTGAGCTTGCACTGTAGTCCATAATCCACAGTGTCCTTTTGCAATGTTATTGAACCATCCAGAGGCCTTTCATCAGGAGTGGGATTCTACCGGTTCGCACCTGTTCACTAGAACCGGTTGTTAACATTCTAAGCAGTTCAGAGAATCGGTTGTTAGAAGAAATTACTGGCCTAATCCTGTAAGGAAGGCAGGAAGGAAACATTCTGGTGTTCTTTACAGAAACTGCCTCTCCGTTAACCCTTATTACATGCTTGGCAGGACTAGTCTTCCTGTCTCAGGAACGTCTCTGGAGTTATTTTTCCCCTCCTTTGCTGGTACTTTGCTTGTGTGGAGTGATCATTCAAAGTTACAATGGCACTGAAAAAAGTGACTGATGACCATTTTTCACACTTGCGACTGTTGCAGCATCCCCACAGTCATGAGAGGCCAGGCGAGGAGATGCGTGCCTCAATGTGAGTGATATTGAGTTGGCCACACCCAGCCAATAACATGACCACCAAGCCACGCCCACCCAGTCACACGAACACCAAGCCACGCCCACCAACTAAGCCACGCCCACAGAACCGGTTGTTTAAAATTTGAATCCCACTCCTGCCTTTCTTAATGTCTTGTGAAAGAACCCAAGCCAATCCCTTGCTCCAGATGCTGATAGAAAGCACAGAAGGAAAAAGAGGTGGCATCTCTTCTCCTATCATCCATGGGGCACACCTGTCTACACTTACCAACCTATGTCTATGATTTACCTATGTCCATGAGCAGCAGCATGGCTGAAACAGTTCATGTCTTCATGAAGCGATGAGGAGATCCCATTGGCCTCCAGCATACTCAGAAGGGGATCGGCTCCTCGGCTCAGCAGCAAACTGACCAGCTCATAGTTGCCTAGAAATGCAAGAGTTGTATTGATGGTTTTTTTGTAAAGTTGTAAGATAGCAGTTAATCCTTCCCTTCTTCCCTTCCCTTCCTCCCTTCCTTTCCCTCCCTTCCTCTTCTTCCCTCTATTTTGTAATAGTGATTCTGTAAATTTGATAAGATGTGGGGATCAAATCTCTCTGTGCGTATACAATAATGTGCAAAAGCTTGTGGATATTTATATGCATACCATTATTTTCTATTAAAGTTTCCACTCCACAAAAAGGGAGCAAAAATCATGTCAAGTGGATCTATGTGCATACACTAGAATCACATATTATCTTGTGTACATATACTAAGTACATTTCATCAACTAATAATCCTACATAGTCTCAGTGCCCCACTGCAAACAGTCTGTCAGGAACTGCATGACTATATTAAATAAAAAAAATATTTGGCACCTCTGAAAGTATAGTTTCTTTCAAATTTGACACTTCATAGTCAGACTGAAACTCAAAGGAGGCAATTGTTTTAAGATTATGTACCTACTCCAATATTTCTCAACTTCAACAAATTTAAGGTATGAAAACTTTAAGTCCCAGAATTCCACAGTCAGCCAATACTGGGAGATGAAATTGCTGACGTGGAGAAATCTCTAAATGTTATTAGGATGAAAATGCAACACTTGCTGAGACTTGCCTGCTGCTGAGGCCAGTTGAAGTGGTGTCTCAGCATAGTTGTCTTCTCCACTGTTCACAGCAGAACCTTCAACGTGGGCCCCCGCATCTAGCAGCAACTGTGAAAAACAACAAGGAATTTGAAGAAGAAATGCAGGCAGAGAGACTGCTAATCATGGCAACTACGGTACTTTACTTGGTTGCCATTGTGGTAAGACCTACACTAAGGTTACCAGATGTGGACTGCAACATTCCAGATGGTCAGTAGATGGCAGCAAATAACATTTTGTAAGCCTCTGCTACTCACTAGTGGTTATCTGGAATTTTGCAGACCAGATCTGATAGACCTAACATACATCACTTTTGGAATTTAATTTACCAACTCTAAAAATTTCTCTCTTTGTCTGTTTTTTAAAGCTCTGGTAATTTTCAAAGAGACAGTGTCAGATGCATGAAAACATAACATTTCCAGCTATTTCTGAAAAAGTAGCAGATATGGAAAATCATTTGGAAATATGCTTAGAATTCAGAATTGTTCCTAAATTATTGTATCTATTTTTAGATTCATGGCATCTGACGGTTTCTGTCTTCTCAAATCTCACTAGCTGAGCGCCATTCCATAAAGCTATTTGGATGGATTCTCTTCCAGTCAGTCCATTATAATAAGATATGTAACTGAAAGGAACAGCCTGCACCTGTTTTTGTCCTCCTCCATCTCAATCCCTTCTGTTTTGTGTCCCTTGTCTTTTGAACGGTCTGAGGCAGAGGCTGCTCTACTACTTATATAGCACTTTGGCTTGAGAGAAGTGCTTGCATGAGGATGCCCGTCGAGAGCTTTGTATCTGTACCCACAACATTTTCACAAGGTCTCCAGCCCTGTACCCCTTCCCCCATTTTTCCAAGCTAAGCAATTTCTGATTTCTTTTACAAGGAATTAAAGACAACTTCCTACTTCCTTCTAACTAAAATTGCTTTGAGAAGGGAAGGTTGGTTTATGTATATATGCTTTTCATCCACAATAGTGCAAGGTTGTATAGATTTTGCATGCAGTTGCCTGTGTCTATGTGAAATAAGTGTCTGAAGATTGTATGTTTTGTGTGCATGGAGACAGTTCTACCTTTCAGCGTATACACAAATGTATGCCAATAAATGTGCCTGATCAGGTACCTTGGCACGTTATGTACCTTCCAGCTTGCAAACATTGTCTACCCCAGTGAAAATATCCAAAAATAAATGAGTATGAAAGGAATGCTTTGTTTCTGAAATAATCAGTGGTGCTACCTCTCTCCTAAATTTGCATTTATGAATTGTTGCCAGTGTCAACCCTGAAGCTTTCAGTTTCTCTGGAAAAATCTGAGAAAGGCATTTTATTATTTGTATCCATCTGATTATTTTTACAAGTATATGAAGGTGAGAAACATATCGAATATAGCATCCTCTTCTTATTTTCCCTACAACGATAACTCTGGTGTGTATGTGTGAGGTGGCTAAGAGAGAATGAGTGGGCCAAAGTCAGTTATTGGATAAAATATATGACCAGCCCCAAAATGCCTTTGATGGCTTTGATGGCTAAGGTGGGACTAGATCGTTGAGTCTCCTGTTGGCTAGTAAGGTTAATTGGCTTAATCGCTAGACCAAGCTGGCTCTCATTGCTAGTGAGAACAAATACACTTCTAAATAGAGGCATATTCAGCAGTAAATGCAGACTAGTGCCTTCCAGACATGTTGAAGCAATTGACAAAATCCCAGGCAGCATGGATTTTCATCTTGTTAGTGATGTGTTATGGATCTCTGATCACATTCTTTTCAGGTTGCATGTGAAACTTTGACAGCTTGTCTTTTGCTGACCTGGACAACTGAGATATGGCCATGTAATACAGCAAAAGTGAGCGCAGTCCAGTGTCGGCTATCAGGATGAACTGATGGGTATCGAGATGAACTTCCAGGAACCTGGGAAAAAGGGAGAAATGTTTATTGGTTGCAATTCTTCGTTGTTAAGCTCCTAAAATGCATTTGAAAATAGCACAACCCTGATAAATTGCAATCCTTCGAATCTGTAGGCTGACATAACTCTGAAAATTCTGCCAGTACCAATCGGTGTGTTTAATTCTTTAGACTGGTTGGTTGGTTTCTTGGTTTAAAATGCATCTGCTAGTTTTCTTTAGAGGTTGTAGGTTGTTCTTGCAGAGGGAAAAGAATTTATTCTTTCAATTTCTGCTTTCCTTTGCATTGTAATTAACCTACGGCAGGTATTGTTGCTGTAGAATCCATAAGTACCACTATCACCATCATTTCTAAAAAGAAAGAAATTTATCTCCAAATCTGTTCAGCAAATATATTATATGAACCTCAAAATACAATATTTCACTTTGCAATTCTTAAATAAGAATCCATGCCCATTTACCTATTTCCCTTTCTGTGGCTGATTTTCACTTACTGGTATATCCAGATTTGCTCCAGCATCAATCAGCATCTGCACCATGGCTTCATCTCCAGCAGAACAGGCATACATGAGTGGAGTCATACCCTTTAAGAACAATGTACCCAGCCAGTTATTTTATTTCCAAAAAGCAAAGATTACAAACAAAATGTTTGGTTCTATATATTCTATATATGCACATTTGTTTCCTTACACTTTATAATACATGTGCGTTATCCATGTATGATATACTTTGGCATAAATATTTTCCTTCTTATAAACATTGGAAGTAGACTAGGCATGGGACTGGTTTCAGTGTAAGAATTTATATTGATTCTCCTGTAGAAATGCTTAAAGACTGCACATGATTCTTTTGCTTCTTTTTTTTGTCTGTGAGTCATAAAATGAACGCATTCACACAACACATGAAAGCATAAACACAGGTTAATAACACAAAATTCCTATGTCAACATAACGCACCGTGTTAATAACTGGCCTCAGAGGTAGGCAGAAGTGAGCTCCAGAAGACATGCTATGAAACACTGAAACGATATTGGTTTATAGCTACTGTATTTGTTTTACAAATTTACTTTGTCTATAAAACTTTACAATGCCTTCATGATACCGGTCAGATTAATGAAGCATCTGAAATTCTTGTATTTCCTCTTATAAATTTAGTTACTGCCTTCTATTGACTGAAGTCTCCAAGAACAGGATGATGCTTCAACATTTCTAATGAAAAGGAAAAGAAGCACACATACATCCAATAACAAGAGTCAGTTAAGAACTCCTGGTATCGAATGATGCAGAATATCAGAGTAGCCCTGAGTCAACCTGTAGTAAAAAGGTTTACATGGTGATTTTGAGAAGAGTATAAATTTATATGATTGCAATAACCTGGACTTTGGATTTTAATCTTGCTCATCTATATCATGAATGTTATAGAACTGATTTTTATATACCTGATCATCCATTGCATTAACACCTTCAGGCCCTAAGGCTTCTATAGCTTGGTTAATCAGATCAGTCCTTCCGCAGTTCAACATTCGAAACCCCAGATCCTGCTGGAATTTTTCAGTAGCAGCCTTTGCATCCATTCGCCGGAAGGAACTAAAGCAGCATTCTGGCCTGTGGAACAATACAGCCACAGTTTATTAATATTGTTATTAATATCACAGTTAGGATCCTGTATCCCAGCATGTTGTGATCTTGAGTTCACTAAGGCAGAAACAGATGTAATAAAAGACCTAGAATTATTTCTACTTCATGTCATTCCTGCTAAAGTATTTGTCTTCCTCACTGTGAATCTGAGGACTGTTTTACATTTGATATGGCAGAAATCTGAGGTGGCATAAAGGATTGTATAATTACAGATTTCAGATAAAGATATATTTCTAAATGATATTTCTAACTCAAATTTCCTACAAACAGACAATTCCTCTTGCAGGCTGAAAAGTTACAATCCTATCATTCATGCTCATCTCACTTGACCATGGGTAGATCAGACCTAAGACAAATGCTTTGTTAACCATTTTGTTAACAGATGACCTTGTCTTCAACTCGTCCCACTATGCAGGGACTTATTCATTTAGTTAGAGAATTTATATGGCTGTCACTCTCAGCGATTCTGGCAGCTTACCAAAAATAAAAGCCCAATATGCAAATACCTTAACTCTAACTCCCAGGCAATGAAAAAAAAATCAATTTAACAAGCCACTTGATGGGCTCCTTCCCACTCTGGGTTCCCCAGGCCAAACCAGGTTCCCAGGGCCTTGAGAAAGAGTGCAAAGTGGGGGCCAGTCTAATTTCCATGGATATAATGTTCTAAAGGGAGTGAGCCACCAGGAGAAGGGATCATCAGGTGAATGCTCTAAAGCAGTGGTCCCCAACCTTTTTTGTGCCGCGGCCCTGTACCGGCATCACAAAATCATCCGCGGCCCGGTACCGGCATCAGCACGCATGGCAAGGCGAGCCGAGCGACCGGTCAGCCAGCCATCCCCCGCTTCTCTCCACCACCTTCAACTCCTCCTTTGTACCTGTGTCGATGGGCTTCGCGACGGCTTCGGGACGGTCGCTCGGCTCGCCTTGCCATGCGTGCTGAAAGAATCCTCGCGCCTTAGTTTTGTTTGAAGCCACCCCCCCTCGATGAAACTAAGGCGTGAGGATTCTTTCAGCACCCAAATGCCTCTTTCTACCCGGAAAAGCTCACCGGAAGCACTTTTTCATCAAAACAAGATGGCGGCACCCAGCGGCCCGGTAGAAATTGTTCCACGGACGGGTACCGGTCCAGGGACCAGTGGTTGGGGACCCCTGCTCTATAGCATCTCCAGAAGGTTTCTTATCATGTAGATGCTATAGCACATATTACAAAAAGATTAGGGTCCTATTGTTCCTATTGCCCATTTGAAGCCACTGTGACCATATCTACCCCTTTGGTCCTTAACCATTATTTTTCAATCTTTTGGCAACAGGAAAATCCAATTGTGCCAGACACCCATTTTATTTACCAAATTTGGCAAGTAACTGTGCAACTGTCAGGCTGGGTGAGATAGCAAGAGAGGTATGTGTGCATTGAGTGAGTCTGTATGCGTGCGTGCATGTGAGCATGGGGAAGGGCTCTTGAGGCACAAGTTCTTCTATCTTACTGAGGTTTTCTATGCAGTTGCAAAGAACTGTCCAGAAAAAGGAAATGGAAAGAAAATTGCTCCGTAGGCATCGGTTGTCAGATTGAAACTACGGATCGATTAGTAGGAGTTGATCTACATGGTTCGGTATGAGCAATTTTTACTGGTGTCCAGCAGGCTTCTGGAAGACAATGGGCATTGTTTCGATGCCCTGGCAGAATAAGGGTTGAAAGTGCAGTCAGCACATTTTAATGTCAACCTACAGTTGTCTCCCATATTGGTGAATTAACTTTAATCTTGTTGTGTGGTTGTCTCCCAATAGGTCTTTTATATGGATAGTTTAGCAGATTCATTTGGCACTTTCTTCTGTATGTGTAAATCGAAGATGTTTGGTCCTTTCCCCCCGCTGAGAGACCTGGATGAAATTATCAAAGCTTTTCTTTCTCTGAACAGATAGGGTACTTATATTTTAATTATTGCTGTTGCACATGACTAATTTTGTTTTTGATTGCATCAGATAAAGCAGTTAAAGTTAGGAAAACAATATGGAGTGCTGCTGCCAAGAGAAGCAGATTGGGAAATTCCAATGTGTGACTTTTATTTATTCTAAACTTTTGACAGAAATCCATTTGTTTCTTAAAAAGCATTTACTTAGATTCAGCACTTTTGGAAATGCTAGACTGAAAGACTTGGAAGAAAGAAATTTTGCACTGTTAGCCCATTTCTGAGCAGTTAAAGAAAATGATAATATTCTGTTCAATGAATTTAATTTAGCAATCTTAAAATTTAATTTATTTATTTGTTTGATATTGATGCCACCTGACTGCAACTGACTCGTCAATAAAAAAACACTGTTCCACTTCAATGCATTCTTCTTCTTATAATAACTACTTTTGATAGTTTTCAGAGATCCTTGAGAGTACTTAATTGAAGCCATACAGGATTTTGAAAGAGTTAAAGATTTTAACTGAAACCTTTCATGCCTAAAATATACTTATGTACAGTAATACTCTAAAGGTGAGTATTCATAAACTAAAGTTAGTCTCATCCTCAAAACAATTGCCTATAAATATTGAGATTTTGAAGAGGTATAAATATCATTTTTTTCAAGTGGTATTTTAAGATTAATATGATAAACATATGACACCAAGACATCAAACAATGATGGCAAAACTGGTAGAATATATAACAACTGGACTGTGAAAGAACTGATTGCTATTAGTTTATACAGTCTGTACTAGAACACTCCATGCCGTAATATTGAAGGTTCTTTAAAGAACAGAACATCTTAAGAAGAGCTGTACTGAATAACATGGAAGGCCCAACTAACGCAGCTTTTTGTTTCCACAATGGTCAACCACAATGGTCAACCTAGCAACCACTAGGATACTAGTATCCAAGTATCCTAGCAATCACGAATAATCATGGATCTGTAGTAACTCCACAGATATTAATTAAACCTTTATTAGAGAGTGGTGGAAAATTAAGTTTTTTTGGGGGGAAGGAAAGACCGAAATAAATTAAAGCTTTTCTTGGAGGGATAAGGAAAATTAAGCCTTTTTCAATGAATTATTACTATTTTTGGGGGGGGAAGGAAGAGGGAAATGAAACATTTTTTTGAAAGAGGAGGGAAATAAAAGGGTGGAGTTTTTTGGCGGGGGGGGAGGAAGCACTCCTTTGTACACTGGAGGCTCTGGGGCCTGGAGCAAATTGGCTACCATTTACAAGGTTGTCATGGGCAAAAAGCACAATCTTGCCCCCTTGCCTTAACTGCAGCAGTGAGGGTACCTTGGCAGTACTGTAACACAGACTGAGAGGGAATATCTGTCAGGTGGTGCTCCTGCTCAGTCCGTGCTGTGGCAGCACCGAGTAATTCTCACTGCTGCAGGTAAGCTGAGACTACAAACTTGAGCAGGATTATTTATGAGTCATTAGTCTGGAATTAGTCTGAGAGGTGGTTACAATTATTATTATTATTATTATTATTATTATTATTATTATTATTATTGTTGTTGTTGTTGTTGTTGTTGTTGTTGTTGTTGTTGTTGTTGAATTTAAATCATTTTGTGTGCACCTGAATTTTTACCATGTGCATGGGTTTCATAAGCTGTGCATACTTAGGAGGGAATATATGTTCATACTCCTGTTTTATATACTTAATGCCATTCATTCATTCTTTCATTCGTATAGCACCAACTCTTTATGATTCATGTAGGTATCCTGTCATAATATGACTGGCAGCCCCTGACAGTTGACAGTGCAATTCACATTGCACCGGGAAAGAGCAACAGAGATGATTAGGGGACTGGAGGCTAAAACATATGAAGAACGGTTGCAGGAACTGGGTATTGCTAGCCTAGTGAAAAGAAGGACTAAGGGGGACATGATAGTAGTGTGCTGATATTTGAGGGGCTGCCACAAAGAAAATGGGGTCAAACTATTTTCCAAAGCACCTGAAGAAACAATGGATGGAAACTAATCAAGGAGAAAAGCAACTTAGAAATAAGGAGAAATTTCCTAACGGGGAGAACAATTAACCCGTGGAACAGCTTGTCTTCAGAAGTTGTGGTTGCTTATCACTGGAGGCTTTTAAGAAGGCTAGACAACTACTTGCCTGGAATGGTATAGGATGTCCTGTTTGAGCAAGAGTTTGGAGTAGAAGAGGTCTCTTCCAACTCTTGTTATTCTGTTGTGTTAACATTTTACTGTTCATGAATTTGGCCAAACAATTTTAAAAATCAGTAGCTGCTGATTCATTTTGTGGAAATGGATTTTATAGTTTTAATTATCCATAAGTTTCTCCAGACATTCTTACCATTCTGCTTAATATATAACCCCCTTGTGAGGTACGTTGGCTGAAAGTGAGCTAAGTAAAATAAATAAGTTAAAGAAAGCATACAGAGCATGGCTTCATGAATTGCTTAAAAACTGCTTGGCCACAGAGGGCATATTTACTTTCTCCTGCGTAACAAACTAATAGGCTATGAACGTGTGTTTCTGCTTTGTGTGCGTGTGTGCCCTGAGAAGTATTGAGAAGGCTGCACACATTCTGCGCTGGGTCATGTGACCAGAAATGTGGGGGTTTAAAGTAGAACAGCAGCATTTCTAAGTTACTGTTTCCAGCTGCTTCTCTTAACATATAGTAATGCACTGGGGGATATATTTTTTTCCCTAGATTTCTTTTCTCTGCAGTGCCAATCAAATCCAGCCTAATAAAAAAACTACGCATAATCATTGTTTTGCATGCTTCTGTCATAGATAATTTGCCCTGTCCTGTTCTGATTTGTGAGAGTTTTCCTATTGGTAGACGGGTAGCCAGAGGGCAGATGGTACCAAGCTCTTTGATATAATTTCCTTCCAATATTCTGTTGGATTAGAAAGAATAAAAATATTCGTCCTGATGCAGACTCTTCAGGATGATAGTGGTTATGTCCATCCATTGCAAGAACTGTTCACTTAATCCTATTCTCTGATTTCTGTTATTTAATCTTTACCAATCTTTTCTTATTTATGACTACTCTGTTTGCTCAATAGTTTTTTTATATTTGGTCAAAACGTCTTCAAAATCCAAGTTAACTATTCTTTCAGGGTCATTCCTCTGTACATTTTTTATACTCTGAAAAAAACTCTAAAGGTTATTGTGGCCTAATTTTACCTCACAGAAGTTATTTGATGCTCTTTCTATGTGCCTGATCATTTCACCTTTAAAAATACTGTCCTTCTGTTTTCTTGAACAAACTGTGATTCACCTTTGGGATCACATGTAGTCACTCACAATACCTCCAAGGAGGAGCTTGACCCATTAGATTATTATTATTTTTGGTTTGGTAGTTTTGTTTTAATTGCCAAAAAAATGCTAAAGTTTGTAAATCTTATGTGCCCTTCAGAAATAACACCCATGTTTCTCCAAAAATAAGACCTGGTTTAATTTTCTTATGGGCACTAGGGCTTATTTTCAGGAATTTCTTATTTCATTTGAGTGCCTCTGCTGTGAGGCGGTGGGATGGAGCTCCTCATGTGCCCCACATAGACTTACCTCAGGGCTCCTGCAGCCAGGCCACCTATGCCCCAACACCTGCCTCACGTCATGGCTGTGGCATTGGTGTGTCGCTCAGTTTCCTGCTCTGTTGCAGACACAAGCAAGCAGAAGTAGGCTGGAGGCCAGGCGGGGTCTTGCTGGATGGGGCTATCAGAGACACCACCGCAAGGTGAGGCAGTTGTCAGAGTGTGGATGGACTGGCTGCAGTGGCCCTGAGTTAAGCTGGTGCAGGGTGCATAGGGCAGCTCCACCTGCCCGCCTTGCCTCATGGCCACGACACCAGCACATCGGTTAGCCTCCTGCTCTGGTGCCATGCCAGTGCTGGAAGAAGTGGGCTGATGGCCATGTGGGCTCCTGCTGCAGATGACCGCTGGTGCTGCCACCGTGAAGCAGTTATTGGAGCATGGATGACCTGGCTGTGGGGACCCTGAGATAAGCCGATGTATGTGTGAAGCAGCTCCACTCCTCCTCACCTCACCTCGTGCCGATGGCACTGCAAGAACCAGACAGACTGGGCAGGCATTTAAGTAGGGCTTATTTTGAGGATAGGGCTTGTATTGGGTGCATGTGCAGAAAACATGTTAGGTCTTATTTTCAGGGAAACATGGTACTGACATAGATGGCTTTCTCATTGTGAACAAATCAGTCTTCTGGCATGTGTACATAAAATGTGTTTAAAAACAGCAGCCTTAATTAGAATATATTGTGATTAAATGTAGGTGGAATATTAAATGTACACAACCTACTTCAATTGCCGAGGTTCACAGTCCAATCCAGGTAATAGCAACCTAGCTGTCTGTCGGATATCATCACTGTCTACAGTTAAACTGCGCCGGTGCTCAGCATAGGTTATAGCTACTCGCATCCATTCCATCAGAGGGGGAAGAAGCATGAATGGCCTGGAGAAAAAAGAAGATATCCATCACACCTCATGTTAAGATCCATTCTATCTAGGAAAATTAATCATGTATCATGCAACTTCTTCAAAACCCAAACTTTCTTATTTCAAAAGAACTTTACTTAATTATATCAGTGGCGCCTACTTTGAAGTCATCATGTCCTCTTTAGTAAACATGGTCACACAGGACACGTTGGCTAAAATATAAAGTAAGTAATGAGTGATCTACTTGACATTTCTTTTTGCATATAATGAATGTTATGCCAAAGTTCCATAAAAAGTGGAATTTCGCCTCTAGGACATCTTCCAAACTTGCCACTGCAGGGAAGGAGGCATTCACTGTGTTTCTGGATGGGAGATGTATAATTCTTGATTTGTAACTATAATTGAGCCTGGAATTATAGTCCTAAATCATGCCAGTTGTTAAGTGGGTCACCATGTAACCACACCTAATTTTGCAACCTTTTGGGGGGCATCATTAGTGAACTGCATTAAGTAAGCACAACGGTTGTTGTGGAAATCCATTGTCTGCAATAGGTGTTTTTTGTCAGAAACCGGAACGAAACATGATTTTTCGGAAAAAAATGTTCTAAAAGATGTTCGTTCACATGACCACAGGATGCTGCAAGTGGTGATAAATGTGTGCCAACT